ATTTAAAAGATGTGTAGATGTGGTGCTTAGGGACAAGGTTTAGTGGTTGACTTCGCAGTGTTAGGTTTACAGTTGGACTCGATGACCTTACAGGTCTTTTCCAATCAAAACGATTATATGATTCTATCTTTGAATATTAGCCAGCTTTCCTGGGCCACCCTTCCTTCCAGTAGCTGATCCCAGGGGACTTTTCCAAGCTGTTCTTTGAAAAAGCCAAAGTTTGCTCTGCTGAAGTGCAGGTTTGTGTGCTTGCTTTTCACCCTCTTCCCTGCTCTTGGGATCCTGAACTCCACCATCTCATGGTCACTGCAGCCATGGCTGCCTTTGACCTTTAAATCCCCAACAGGCCCCGCCTTGGGGGGGAGGAAGAGTTGGTGAGTACGAGGTCCAGCAGAACACCTCTCCTCATTGGCTCCTCTATCACTTGGAGGAGGAAGTTATCAACATACTCCAGGAACCTCCTGGATTGCTTCTGTCCTGCTGCGTTGTCCCTCTATCAGATATTGGGGAGGTTGAATTCCCCCATGAGGAGTATGGCCTGCAAACTTAAGGCTGCTTCTGTCTACATAGCCTGATCTACTTGTTCTTCCTGGTTAGGTGGCCTACAGCAGCCACCCACTATAATGTCACCTTTACCTGTCCTAAATCCTAACCCATGAACTGATCTCAGTTGTCTCCTCATCCAACCCCAGACAGAGCTCCATGCACTCCAGCTGCACTCTATCATAAAGGGCAACTCCCCTTCCTTGTCTTTCCATCCTGTCCTTCCTAAAGACCTGTATCCCTCCTTTGCAGCTCTCCAGTCATGGGAACCATCTCACCAAGTCTCTGTGATCCCAGTAAGATTGTAGCCCCACAACTGCACACAGATCTCTAACTCTGCTCCCCATTCTGAGCGTGTTAGTGCACAGACACTTCAGGAGGCACCCCAGCATGTTGATTTCCTAGAAAAAGTCTGGGAATTTATCCATAATGGTGCCTTGTAGGCACTTTGTTGCTTACATGCAAGCACTGGAGGTGACCCTGCTTAAAACCTGTTTTATCGATTTTGTGATCCCTCCCTGTCACACCACCCATGCCCTTTGGTTAGCCAACCTGTATGTCACTCCCTCACTCTCTCCCTCCTCTGTCATTCTTGGTTTAAAGCTCTCCTAATAAGGTCAGCCAAAAATTGGCAAAAACAGCTTTGCCCTAGTGAGGTAGATCGCACCTCTCCCAAGCAGATGCCGATCTGCAAAGTGTCCTTTGCTATGTCTGCAAAGAGTCATAGAACCCAAAACCCTGTTGCCAACACCAGTTCTGCAGCTAATTGACTTGTTCTATTCATGCCCTCCTCTGCACTCCTTTTCCCCTCACCAGCAAGACTGAGACCACCACCTGGGCCCCCATGCCTGTGAGTACCACCCCTAGAGCTCTGTAGTCACTTTTGATACTGTCCAGGTTTCCCCTGGCAGCATAATTTCCACTTATATGGACTGACAGAAGGAAGCTGTGGTCAGAGAGCTGGATGAGCTTCAGTAGTTCCTCCACAACATCCCAGATCCTGGCCCCCAGAAGGCAGCAAACCTCTCTAGATGACTGGCTGTTGACAGATGGGTTCCTCTGTCTTCTGCAGCAATGCCACCAAATTCGACTTGCCATTTATTCCTGTAAATCTTGCATGGTTTAGGGTTAGATAAACCAGGTTCTTTGCTTGAAGGCACATCTAGCTCCTCTTCAACTCTGAGGGTAGTGAACCTATTTTGCAGTTGTAAGCCCTTAGGTGGAGCAGGAACCTTCCTGTGGGTGCCAGAAGTCACCAGCTTCCATCCTTCCCCTTCTCCAGAGGTTTTTCTTACTTTGACTGTTAGTGGGAGGTAGAAACTGCCTGCTTCCCTGTTGCAGATGGGTCTGAGGCTCTTCAAGCTGTTAAGTCTCAGAGAAGATCCTGTCTATCTCCTTTTCATCTTCTGTGATGTTGTGCAGCCTGCTCACTTCCTCCTGTAACTCCTCCATTTGGCAGCACACCTCCTGCCAGGACAGAAGGACAGAAGGCCATCTCCCTTGGCTTCAGAGAGAGGTCCCAGGGACTCTCTGCAACCTGGGACTTGGAGGGCAGCATTGTCCATCTGTATCTCGGTCTGTGTGGAAGCCATATTGGGTTTGCACGGCCAGGTTTTGGTAGTGGGAGGCTACAGGGGTGGCTTCTGTGAGAAGCTGCTAGAAGCTTTTCCCATGTCTGACAGATCCAATGCCAGGTGGCTCCAAGACAGACCCGCTGCTGGCCAAGGCTGAGCCCATCAGTGATGGAGGCAGCGCTGCTGTGATAACATACTTCAGAAGTTAAAATCTGTGCGGAACAATATCCCAAAGAGGGGAGTGAGAATATGTGAGACAAACAACTTCCAGACATCAAGGTCAGTGAAGAAGGAGGGGCAGAAGGTGCTCCAGGCACCGGAGCAGAGATGCCCCTGCAACTTGTGGGGAAGACCATGGTGAGGCAGGCTGTCCCCCTGCAGCCCAGGGAGGTTAATGCTGGAGCAGAGAGGAGAGGAGCCCACACTGGAGCAGGTTTGCTGGCAGGACTTGGACCTCATTGGGGACCCACACTGGCGCAGTCTGCTCCTGAAGGACTGCACCTTGTGGAAGGGACCCACACTGGAGCAGTTCTGAAGAACCATAGCCCTTGGGAAGTGCCCACCTTGGAGAAGTTCGTGGAGGACTGTCTCCTGTGGGAGGGACCCCACACTGGAGCAAAGAAGAGTATAAGGAGCTCCTCCTCTGAGGAGGCAGGAGCGGCAGAGACAACATGTGAGGAACTGACCACAACCCACATTCCCCATCTCCCTGTGCTGCTTGCTGCCCGGGGGGAGGAGGTAGAGAAAATCAGGAGTGAAGTTAAGCCCAGGGAAAAAGGGAGGGGTGAGGGGAGAGCTGTTTTAAGATTTTATTTCTCATTATCCTACTCTGATTTGATTGATAACAAATTAAAATAATTTCCCCAAGTCGAGTCTGTTTTGCCCATGACTGCAATTGGTGAGTGATCTCTCTCTGTCCTTATCTCACACATAAGCCTTTCGCTATATTTTCTCTCCCTCGTCCAGCTGAGGAGGGGATTGATAGAGCAGCTTTGGTGGGCACCCGGTGTCCAGCCAGGGTCAGCCCACCCTAGAAGCCTCTGCCCTAGCAGGGACAACTGCTCCCACAACTACTGGGGAAACCAAAATGGAGCATATGCATGTTTTGTTTAGCTTGGAATACGTATCTGACCACAGCAAAGCAGAGCAGATTTCAAGGCGAGATGATAAAATTGCACTCTAATCTCCCGAGCTTTGTACCATAATGCTGACAAGGGCATCATTCCTGTCGGGTTGAAAAGTTCTACCCAACATGGTCATGTGATAGCATGGCTAAAACAAAGTAAAGCACGGGCCACTCAGAATGAAAAGACAGATGCAGAAAATCATAAGGTGAAAGGCTTTGAGAAAGCTGTTTGTATTTGAAAATTTCAGAATCAGATAATTTCTAAAAATATTTAAATAAAAGCATTCATTTATGCAAATACATTAACCTAGGAAGAGCCAAAACCAAAACACAAGCATTCAGTATGAAGATTTTCTTTACAATAAAAATTATTCTACGAAGTATATTAAATAGGACAAGAGGGGGAAAAAAAGCATCTCACAATTTATACTCCAGGGCATCACATTTTAGAACAATGTCTTAGCCATTAATCATTTAGAAATGATTCACAAAGAAATTAAATAAGCTATTCCATAAAAGAATAATCTAATTTACAGTTTAGATGTAAGGCTTCACCATAACATCTCACTCCCTTCACCTGGCTCTTTGCATACCCAACGTGAGTGACCTGTACTCTCCTACCAGAGTAACACAGCACGGTGGTCCTCAAAAACACAGGTAGTGCTCAGGTTTACTTTTTAAGGTCCAATGAAGAAGTATTACTAGAAAGTGTCCTATTATTTGTCAAAATAAAAGCAAATGAAAAGCTAGGAGAAATGGATAAGTTATATTTGCTGGTCTAAGACTGAGGGAATAGATTGAATTAGACTTTGCAGGGAAAAAACCAAGAAGTGTCGAGCTGCTAGTTATGCCATCATATTATTAGCTATTGTGCACAACCGGGACACCGCAACTCCAGATCACAGACCAGGAACACAGTGCTTCCTTCAAGCAAAGTATGTAACTTCTGTGTGAAAAAAACTGGGAAACAAATAATAACTATCCATCTCCATAGCTATCATATGCATAAGAACTACTGGCTTTACAGAGCTCCAGTTTATTCAAAACACTGAATGTAATACTGATGACAATAATATCTCTTAGTCTCCTTATGCATCAAGTACAAATCAGACAAAACCCTGCCCCCAAACACTCATTTTCAACCACAGAGCATTGCCAGAAATCTCATATTTGCAACAAAGTTCCCCGTGTTGCAGTTAACATAGGAATTCTGCAGACAACAGTCACAAATACTTACTAAAAATACAGATATGTTTCCTAAAAGTAATGTGAAGCTTTATAAAGATGACAATGCTTTTGTAACAGTGCAGGGTGCAAATTTTCAGTATGAAGACATTCAGAAGATTTGCTGCTCAAAGAGGATCTTTTCAAACCCTGGTGGAGGTGTATGATAAAATTCACTGAACTGACAATCCAGAATGGCACTGTCATCAACTGCAGGAGAGAAGCAAATAGAAGGAATTAGAGAAGGAACACTTACAGTTTGATCTTACCATCTTACTAGATTGTATACTATGCTCAAACCATGAAGAATATTCTTCAATACATCCATTACATATATACAGTACAATTAAAATGAATCTCTTCAACAAATTTGCTGAAGCCCTACATACATACCCAAGGACAGCAAATCATCTCTCTCTTCTGACATCTATTTTAGTTGGTAATGGTCCTCAGTGAAGCCAATGAGAATGCTACCTCTGATTTCACTGGAAGTGTTAGCAGGGCTTCAGGCAATTCCCTCCAAATTTTCTACTCTATTTCTCCAGAAATCTACATATTAAGGACGCTACCAGATACATATTGCAAGGCTGTCACCTCCTCAGCTGCATATTTCTCTGTCCACTTCCTAATTCTGCTGGATTGTCAGCTGTCTGCAATAATTTTTCTGGAGGTACACAAGATTTCAGGTGTTTGCAATGGTTGGTGTCAGACCATCTGTTTTAGCATGTGATACAAAGAGAGCTTCTTTGACTGCTTCTTGAAGTTGGAAGTTAATGGTTTTTTATAATACCTCTCCCAGCTTTGGACCCTCTGCATAATCTGAGACACAAGTGCTACTACTATTCAGTGTAGAATATAAAAAATAAACTGCTGGGGATTTTCAGAGCAAAGCTTTCACAGTTCACACTAGCAAACTGAAACACCCAGCCAGTCAGAAAAAGCAAGATCTCTTTCAGAGACAACTTCTCCCAAGACTAATCTGGTACATTAGCAACATTAGATCAAAATAGAAAAGCTTAATCTCCATATTTAGGGTTGGAATTTAAGTATCTTGGAGCCAAGGTACGAATCTTTCCCTCCTAGGCTCAGTTAAAACTCCTATTAGTGTATCTGTACAGTTCTGTAGTACTTCTGCAGTGTTTGCATCTCACTCAAGCAAAAGTGCCTGAGGTACAGCTGCTGCAGGGAGCCACCTTTAAATCCACTTTTCTGTTTTACCTTCTCAGGCTTGACACTGTGTTTGCCTGCTCTATCATGTTTCTTTTCAGAAGATATCTACAGTTCTAGTCTGAATTACAGATAGGATAAATGCTTAAGAAACTCTCTTCTCTATGGTCAAATCCTTTCACATGACTAGAAGTAGCTCACACTAAATTAAGGACATTTATAGTCAAAGTTTATACCAAGTAAGCACCACACAGAAGCAATTTGCAGGCTGCAATTGTTATAGTTATATGTAGGAGACATGATAATTACGATGAAATTATGCCCACTTGTGGAAGATGATAATAATAAGAGCCTGGCAATTAAAAGGTGACTGCGTTCCCTAGGCACAGAACTTCTTTAGTCAGAGAAAAAGATGATTTACAGTAGGCTAACATGCCACCAAATGTTTTCTGAAAGCAATCTGCATTCTCCACGTTATGTAACACCATTTCCAAAATACAGGGAAGATGCAGCAATCAGTTACCACACAGCAACTCTCTTCCGGCTGCTCGAGGCTTTTGCACAAGGAGATGCTGCAGAGCTCCGGGCCAGCTACTGTCTGCCACAGCATTTTATCAGCGCCATCATGTGGCTGAAGAACACATGACAAAGTGACCATAGAAAACAATTTCCACTCTAAAAGCTTGGAAAGATGTAATTTATCAGCTACATTTATAGACTTCAAAGGCTCTACAACGCATCTAGAGAATTTTCTTCCCGTTCATAAAATTCAGTATGACAAATGTATTGAGATACAAACGGGAACATGCCAACAGTTCGTTGAGAACCAATCATGGAATGAAAAAACTACCCATATCACACAGCTAATGGTATCTCAAGAACAAGATCATTTTGGAAGAGGCTACTACTCAGACGAACCTCACACAGGAATAAAGATAAACTGGAGACAGCTGTAGGTGTAAAATGGGGAATCTGACGAGAAGTTGTCATGTGCTGTAAGTCACAAGCCAAGCCAGAGCGCAGCATTGATCATGCCCTGAGCTAGGGGAAGTGCTGCCTTTCAGGTGACATGCTAAACAGAATTCTGACTACTTGGGAACTACAAAACCACTGCCAAGTTCTGGAAGAGTAAATTGTTAACATGTCTTGGCCAAATTCCAGCTTCCATAATTCATAAATTCTTTTTTAAACTGCCTGTGTAGGGACCAATAGGATACGGTATTTATTTCTCATTCGAAACTGCTGTGTTGTATCGATGGTTGCTGGTAAAACAGCTACCACACCACGATTCACTCACCAACTGTTGGGCTTCAAACCTGGGCATCAGTTTGGTATAGCAGCAAAGAGCTGTACCACTATGCAGCAAGCAGCTGTCCTAGTGCTACAGTAAAGTTATTACTTCCATAAGAAAATACAAACAGCAATTCAGTATCCATTTGTATGTAACACTGGATGCATTTAGGGAGCATGTGAAATTAAAAGGCATAAATACCAACCTTCAGAGATAATTCTGATTAGCCCACAACTCTACATTACTTTGAATTTTTTGGTTTTAATTTTTTCATCTGCTTCACAGTTTTTTTACCTGTCAATTTTTAGACTGTGTGCAGTAACTCCCCAGCTTGTTGGATGTGGACACTAAGTAGTCATAAGCAGCACTACAAATGAGGTGAAAATACACTTTTTTATTTTCCTAGGTTTGTATTTTCATGCAATTTATTGTTGTAGTTCCCAAAAATAAATGATTGATGTGTGTTCTATTTAAGTGAGAACAATACATAGCTCACAAGACAGGCTTAGTACAAAACCACTGCCCATACTGTGGAACAGTTTGAAAATCTCTGACTTACCATAGACCACCGGATAGACAGTCCCCCGGATTCCTGAAGCTGGACAATGCATGTTCTTCCCATTTAAATACACATTTAATTCTACATGATCATATGTAATGCCCTACAAAGTACAGAGAATTAACAAAGAAGCATCAACAAGTTTATACACCTAAGATTGCTACTTAATTTAGCCTTCTTAACCACAGGCAAATTTTAACGCCACAGTATCCTAGAGAACCTCACTTGAAATATTCCTGCAAAGAACTAGAAGTTAATAAATGACCAGTAACATTTGTATTTTCAAATACTCAGGATTCCTTAACACTCATGTAATTTGGATGCAGCACAGTATTGCACACCACATCTTACTAAGGACACTTTACAAAACAAATTTCCAAATATTCTTCACCACATTAAAGAAACACAAAATTTTCAATTATTTTGTATATTAAGCAATTTGTAGTCTTCTTGTTTATATCTCCTCATGGAAATAACTTTAATAAATAGTGATGCTATGAATTAAGTTTATCTGTCCATACTTCCATACAGAAGCCTCTCTCAGCTCAACTGCCAGCAGCAACAGACCATGGTTTCATACACAACACTAGAAATATGTTGACTACATAGCAGAAAGCAAACACTAACAAGGTAATAAATTACTTATTTGTTAGCTGAATTATTTTTCTCACTGTTTTGGTATGGCTGAGCGTGACAATTTGTGTTGTCATTCACCCGGAAGAGCAAGGTACAAAAAAATCTTAAGATTCTCCATTAGCTCTCATTCTTAATCATTTTCCCAGTGAGCATTACCCCCTTCCCACTTAGTATCTCTCCTTCCCCACAAAAGTTTGGCTAAAAACACAATCCATCTGTCACCCAGGACCTGCTTTGGAGAGCAGTGAAGGGGAAAGGGATCTGGGAGTCCTGGTGGACAGCAGGATGACCATGAGCCAGCACTGTGCCCTTGTGGCCAGGAAGGCCAATGGCATCCTGGGGTGCATTAGAAGGGGTGTGGTTAGTAGGTCGAGAGAGGTTCTCCTCCCCCTCTACTCTGCCCTGGTGAGGCCACATCTGGAATACTGTGTCCAGTTCTGGGCCCCACAGTTCAAGAAGGACAGGGAACTGCTTGAGAGAGTCCAGCACAGAGCCACCAAGATGATGAAGGGAGTGGAGCATCTCCCTGATGAGGAAAGGCTGAGGGAGCTGGGTCTCTTTAGCTTGGAGAAGAGGAGGCTGAGGGGAGACCTAATTAATGTTTATAAAAATGTTAAGGGCAAATGTCAGGAGGATGGAGCCAGGCTCTTCTCAGTGATGCCCAATGGTAGGACAAGGGGCAATGGGTGTGAGCTGGAACACAGGAGGTTCCGCTTAAACTTGAGAAAAAACTTCCTTACAGTGAGGGTGACAGAGCCCTGGAACAGGCTGCCCAGGGAGGTTGTGGAGTCTCCTTCTCTGGAGACATTCAAGACCCGCCTGGACACCTTCCTGTGTAATTTCATTTAGGTTCCTGCTCTGGCAGGGGGATTGGACTAGATGATCTTTCGAGGTCCCTTCCAATCCCTGACATTCTGTGATTCTGTGACCTATCTCTGCTCAGCTCTGTCCTTCTAATCATTAACCAGTTAGATCCCGAGGTCAGCCAGGCACGGTGCACAGCTACGTAACGCATCCCAGCACATTATTTGTTCAGAAGGGTCCCATCTCAAACAACGTAGGATCCTTGTGATGGGAGTTTTTCATCAGGTAGATACTGCAACCAGACTGCAACAGAACATCAGAGGCTATTTTTCAAACACTGGTAAAGTCTGTCCCTCATTCAGAAACATATCAGTGCTGAGGATGAAGTCCACTGATATCCAGGCTGCTGATCCATTCAAATACAGCAGGAGTTGGTATCAGCACTTTCCAAACTGGGAGATGCCAGCCCAACAATTTGACTGAAACAGTCTGACCACGGAGCTGTAAGTAAGAGGAGTCTGGGAACAGCTCGGGAAGATAAAGAAGTCGTAAGAAACTCACCACCACATCGCCCTCCTGAGGAAGGCTGTTTGCTGGCAGTCTATTTTTCTCCTCATTGTTATAGTAGAGAGCTCCATCATTTCTCATCACCAAGCTGTGGACGTCTCGACCAAGTGGAATTTGATTCAAGTTTGCTTTCTGGGTTGCAACTCCAATACCCCAAATCCCTAAAATATGACAGTAACATGGTAAGAAAAAACCCCAACATTATTTTGAAGACTACCTGACTGAAGCAGGACAGCATAAAGAATGTGGTTTTTAACTAGTGCCATGGCAGTGCTACTGCTAAATATCTCTTGGAAATACCAGGACCATTGTGAGTTAGCCCTGGTAGGCAGCCAAGGACCACCCAGTCACTCACACACTTCCCCTGACAGATGCCAGTGGGACAAAGGAAAAGGAAAGGAAGGGTAAAACCAAGAAAACTTGTGGGTAAAGATACAAATTGTTTAAGACACAAAGGAGAAGTGAAAGAAAACAAAACAAGTGATGCAAAGGCAATGACTCACCAGCTCCCACGGGCAGGCCGATGCCCAGCCAACTTCCAGGCAAAACACGGCTACCTCCCTAAATCCCCTCCTCTCCCTTCTGTTGCTGAGCAGGACACTATGTGCCATGGAGTATCTCTGTGGCTGGTTAGGGTCATCCGCCTGGTTGTGTCCCCTCCCAGCCTCTTGAGCACCCCCAGTTTTATTCACTGAGGCAGCAGAGTGAGAAACAGAGAAGACCTTGATGCTGTGCAAACACTGCTCAGCAACAGCTAAAACATTACTGTGTTACCAGGATTGTTTTGGTCACAAATCTAAAACAGAGTACCATGAAGAAAATTAACTCCAGCCTGGCCAGACCCAGTACAAGCAGTCACAAGAGACTGAAGATAAACAGCATCTATCCTGAAAAATGAGGATCCAGAGAACTGTAACCACTTAGCTTAACTTTTATTCCCAGAAAAATATTGGAAACAAACTCCTGAGAATGTAGGAGGATGTAAAAAAATAAATCCAACTACCATGAATTTGTGAATTTCCTTTATCAGCTGGTTAGATTAGGCTTAGAGAAAAAGAAGGAATTGTAAATATGATAGATCTGGATTTGGTAATGTTTTTGAACCTCATACAACATTCAAATAGTCAAATTATGAAAACATGGTCTAGACAGTTACATCAACATGAATGCACAACTGGTTAGAAAACTGTATTCCAGGACTGCTCATCAGCAGCACCCTGTCAAATCAAAAAAGATGATTCAAGAGGGGTTTGAGGTTTTGTATTGAATTCCCAAAGTCAGATACTGTTCTGTATTCACATCAATGATTTCAATAATGTGACCATGTGCTTATTAAATGTGCTGCCAATACAAACCTGACAGGACTGCAAGCTTTTCAGAGGCCCCTCAAGTTTTTAATTATACTGACAAATCAGTTAAGAGGCGTGAAATAAGAAAAATGCATTTGCTTTTTCCAAACTATGAAGAATAGCAGGTAAATAGGAATAGTAAATGGCACAAATACAGCAGTGGCTTGGCAATCAGTTCATAGAATGTAACTTGGGGGTTATCACAGACCACGTGCTCAGCGTGAGCCTGTGCCCTCCTGTTGTGAAAAACTCCTGGATGCATGGCATGTCTAAAGCAGACATCTTGTACATACAGCAGACGAGGGACGTCTGCTGCTGCTGCTGCCGCTGGAGCACAGCATCCATTTTAAGCATCACACCTCAAGATAAATTAGGTCAATCAGAGATATTCTAGAAGAAACAACAAAACCAATCAAAAGTGTAAAAACGTCACCTATAAGGAGACGGTGAAAAAACTGCGACTGTTTAATTTACAGAAGACTAAAACAAAGCAAAAATAAAAGAAAATTAGTTTCAAAAGACAAAATTGCAGAACAATTTATTCTAATACACACCCAGACTGAACAGGAGAGGAGTGTGAACAAGGTTCAGATTAGACTTCAAAAAACTTTCCAATAGTCAGGGAGAGCCCCTAGATGACCCTTAACAGACTGTGCAAAGACACTTCTGGGAATCAAAGTTTTAAGCTAAGTGATCTACAGTTCTCCTGTCCTGGGGCACAGGAATACACAAGACACAGCTCATAGGGACCAAGAGAGTTTATTTCCTGTGTTTCTCAATTAAGTATAAGAACATGGATACTGTGTCTGTGATGACCATATATGAATAACAGCCACAGTGGCTTCTTCCCCCAGCAGAAAGGACACTAAAATTGCCAGATTAAGACCGAGCTGAGGTTTACATGTAGTTTAAAACTAAACAACTGGTGTGACTGAAAGGTGTTTTGGACAGATTTGTGCTCATGCTGCCTGCACTCCAATCCAACTGAATGTAAACAACCATTATGCAAAAAGCACTGGGTTCAAGCTCCAGGCCTCTCTCTGGACTAACACTTCCCTTCTTCTTCCCTCCCCCTACTCACTTAGGGAAAGCACAGCTTCCTTTTCAGTGTCTGTTGTTTTTAAAAATACAGGCTGACTTTTAATGATAGAATACAGGCAAACCTGGAGCACACTCTGTACTAGTGAAGCCGACCCTATTAGTAAAGCATGACGCTTCCAGACTTCATTCACTTTCAGCTGCCTCACATTAAATCCGTGCAAAACAAAGAAACATGGTGCTGAAAGGCACCTTTTGATAAGGCAGTGTCGGAGTAAGTGCTGCACACTTGATGTGAACAGCAAAGCGTAGCACAAGAAGTGTTACCCTTGCTTGGGAAAACACAGTGCATGTTAAAAGCAAACGAAGGTAGGCAAATAGCTACAAATACTGCTGGAGAAACTGTGCTATTTAAAAAAAAAAATACTTCACAGCTGCAGTGTTTTATATGGTCATAAGCACTTATTTACCAAGAAATATTTCTAAAATACGCTGACTGAAAAACATGCACATAGCAGCACACAAAACAATATGCTGGTTTAGTATTTGCACTCCTTTAGCAATATACTCACCATTCTTTTTAATATTTCAGAGCCACAATTAAAAAAGAAAAATAATTCCTTTTACACAATGACAACTGATAAAACTCTCCAATGTTCACGAGTTCAAGGATGCAATTAGAAAGACACATGTGCTTGGTACTTTGAGATGTGACCCCCAGCAGGCCATCTGACATACCTTCCGAGTTTAAAGTCGTACATTTTTGCTGACTAACCTGTGGACTGGATTTTAAACTCGAAATAGCTCTTGTTCTGATGCAAGGGTGCATTGGCTAAGCAGCCTCCCGTGCCACATATTCTTCTGCCATTTTTAACAATGACGACATCAGTTCCTGCAAGGAGAAAAAAACCCGCAAAACTTCAAAACATTTTTAGAAGCCTGGAAGCAGCCCTCAGAAGCCCAAAACACTGAGAACAGGTTCTGTCCTTTCAGCCCCAAGTAAGAGCTTCATCAGTCTGTGAGAATTATAATGACAGGCCACACTTTGAAGTAAGAAAAGCAAGGCTGTTTACAGGCTACTTCATCTTTCAACTAGAGTTTATTTATTTCAGTTCTATAGGCTGCTCTGATTTCACCTCTTAGTTTTTTCGGCACCACGCTGATTACAACCCTTGCTCAGCCACATCAGAAGCATAACTTACAATTTAGTCAGAAAGGGTTCACTGTGAGAACAAAGCCCTCTTCCCTGTCTCTATACACTGGAGAAGAAAATTTTTCTAAGAGAAGGAAAGGCACATGGGATAGAAACGAAATATGTGATGGAATTGCAAGGTGTTTCATTATTCTCTGAAAAAATCCTTTTATTAGAAACATGCCAGCCAATATAGACAGAAAAAAAACCCCCTGCTAAGTTTTCGTTCTCCAGTGGAAGACTTCATCTTTAGGCACTATCATCATGGTCAGGAACATGAGAGACAGCCAAGGTCCACTAATATGACTGAATAAAAACAGGTTCATAATTGCACTTGAGCACTGGACCCTGGATTTGCCACAC